ACTTTAGAAGAGTGCTACGAGATCCTTGGCTTGGAATATGGCGCGAAAGAAGGTATTTAGTAAAGAATTGCGTGGTTTACCGGCCGTCTTAGCTTCCGTGAAGGATTTCGCATTCGCACTCTCTTTTCGTTCGCAAGCTTATCAATCAAACTCATCTCAAATTTTATTTTCTGAGTGAATTACTTCAGTTTTTACAGTAATAGTTAAATATTATCAATCAAGAACCAGTTATTCGTGACCTCGTAGTAGAAAATAGTTGCAAGAGCCTCGAGACAAAACTGTGTAGATGTAATGTGCTTGAGGAAACATGTCAAAACTGCGTTGTACTAAACTATCTCTTGTTTTCCAGTTGTCAAAACCTCCCAGATCAAAAAACAATAACTCTTCAAAAGTTATGGGAAACTATTTTTTGTTGCTGATATAAGCTTAATGTTCTTAAAAAAAACTTTATAGATTCATTCAATCGGTATTTAAACCAACCCGAGCAATGTAGAGTTTCAATGTAAACGTTGCGTCATCTCAAGCCTGAAAAGACATAGCTAGTTGGGAATAATTACGTAAAAACACCCGAAGTTGTCGAATTTGAGCGCAGAGGACTTATGTACGTAAAGAGTCTGAGTTATATCAACTATGGCTCCCCTAAACTGCCGCTTATTAGCCACCCCGCTGAGAACCCAGCCGGTTATATGCCCATCTACTAGTAAAAAGTTTTTCTGGTTATAAGTCCTCGGATATAAAGTCCCTTTCCCCCGCTTATAAGCCCGCTGGTTATATGCCCATCTACCAGTAAAAACTTCTTCCGGTTTTTAGCTCCCGGATATAAGCCTCAATCTAGCTTTCCTCATTTTGAATTCGTTTTATTATGATGTTTGAAAGCTTAATTACCAGTAAATGGAAACCTGTTTCAATCAACAAGTGCAGATATAGCTCATTTTGAAATGTTTTTTTATTAAGCCCTCTTGGATGTAGGCCCCCCTGTTTGTAAGCCCATCTAAAACCCCTTATGAAGTTGTGTAAGTGGCTGTTTTCAATAGATGTGATTGTTTCATTCAGACTTTGATTATGTTTGTGATGATATATAAACTTTCAGATTGGCTGGCACGTAACTTTTTAACAGAAGCTTCAGTAAGGTGTATAACTTCAGTAGATTTTGCCAAAATGGCCAAAACATTTCTTGAATACCATGGTGTTTTTCATTTTTAAATTGTTTTGCCCGTGGTGTAGAGGATTTGTCATAAACATGACCAATAAAATCAATCAAATAGAAACAATGACATTATCCTGGCACATCCTGGGTATTGCCTTTTTGAGGTGGGGTAATTAAGATGGTGCAGAAACTCAAAGGCATTTAGGAACAACCCCATTCTTTTGAAACAAGTTGGTCTGCCAGCTGAAAAGAACAGCTTCAAAGCAAATGTAGAGTTTGGCTTGAGAAAATTTAATCCCCTCCATATTGTATATAAATACTTGGGGTATGGAGCAAGTTCAAAGAATGAAGTTTTTCCTGTAGCATAAATAAATATTACCCTCCATCTGGTTTGAAAATATGTTCAGTTATTTGTCTGCGGATGTTATCTGTTCCGAGTAGCGAACAGTTTCTGAGAGTAAAGCTAGAGGAAAACTGCGACATACATGGAACAGATATAGTCCAAAGATAAACATCGGAGCTTATTTTTAAAGTCAAATGAGGGCCATTGTGGTTTATATCCTTCAAATATTTTTTGCAAGGTGCAGGATTTGAAACTTCGGTCACATACCTTTTCAGACCAATTGCATGTAAGCGAAAATATTTGATGGATTACAATGTTTAACACATCATACACGGGGGTTACCTTGTAAGGAGATGTCAAAGGTACACGCCCAGGTTGTTGAAAGGATGGATAATCCATCATCCACTAGTAAACCGGTAGTCCAGTTATCAAACAAGATACTTCAGTAACTCTATATGTTGCATCTGACACAGCTAAACTGGAAAATCCTTTTTTTTTTTTTCATTTCAGATGAAATCAAGAGTGCTTACCGCAAAAAGGCCCTGCAGTGTCATCCTGATAAGGTACCTATTGCTGAACGTTAAAAGGTTTTGCTTGTTAGTGAGTCCATAGTTTACAGAGGGGAATGGTAATGAAACCAGACAAAGTTCTTTGTTGTATGTTTTTGTTCTCTTTTTTGGCCGTGACCGTGCACAAAACACAATTATAGTTGTTTACTTCACACTGAGGGAATAACCAATAGAAACAATTAGTTACGTAATTCATGCATAGCCATGAACGCAAAACAAAAGATTGTGCATGGTCGTGGACCCTTCAACATAAATCTTGGCATCTTTGTTTGCCCCTCTGATGTTTGCTGGGCTTCATACCGGTAACCATTCCCCTCTATTAACTATGGTGAGTCAAACTGGGTCACTGAGCTGCAAAAGACTTGTGGCAAGCTAGGTCTTTTACTACTAACTGGATATGTTCCTTTTTTTATTAAGGTTGTGTAAATTATACTTCCTGTTTATTATTCAAGTGTGGACGTTGACGTGTTAATTTACCCAATGTTTATTTTGTATATGACAGAATCCTGATGACCCATTGTCAACACAAAAATTCCAAGAGCTAGGTCATGCATATCGAAGACTAACAGGTAATGGGAAGTGATACCCAGGAAAGAACTTTTCATATAAAATGATGTACATGTAACATAAAAACCAGCAAAAGCCTTAACAAAACAGGGCTACAAGTCACCAGCTTATGTTGAAGACTTGCTGCTTCATTTGTACGTGCTCTTGTGTTGAACTGCATTACTTGTGTCCAGTTTGATTTAGGTTGAATTTAAATTCAAGACTTTCAGGACATAACTTTTCACTGTTTGACTGTCCAACACAAGTTGCTGCAAGCT